GTATCATTAAAACAATAAGGGTGCGCGCGTCTTCGATCCATTTTCGGTTTCATGAATATTACAATAGAGAATGCTCGTGGATTGTAAGAATTATATTAGATTAATCGATATTTCGCCACGATGAGGTTTTGTCGCAAGAAATGCAATCTGAAGGCTCAAACGCCAAAGTCCGAAAAAAAAAATTATCAAAGTTCCGATCTCTCGACAACTACTCGATAACTATGGCTACTAGGAATTCTAAAAACATGTCCTCGCCCGCATCCAATCTCAATCGCCGTCATATTTAGCTTAGAAAAAATGCATTTATTTTCTAGGAGCCAGAGGAGGTCGTTCGCACGCAAATCATAACGATTAGTATTTTAAAGGAGACTCGTCCTTGTAGCATGCAACATTCAACCCTCTCGACTTTCTCGACCTTCTCCCCGGGCCCCATGCGACCAACAAAACCCGAATTTCGCCAGGTTAACTAAACTGCACTTGTCACGACACACGACACGAAAACTTGAACTTACTGGCGGATGGGAAAAAAATCTGCAGAATCAATAAGTGCGGCCGTGGAATGGAGCTGCCGGACAACTTGTCGACAATGAACGGGGCAAATACGAGAAAGGAGAGAAACGAAGATCGGCCGGTACGTCGCGAGTCTTCCCGGGATGCACCTACGCGCGCATCTCCATAGCTGGCGATGCGCCAGGGACCCGCGATACCGAATACAGAAGGCAGGAGCGGCAGCGAAGAGGGTGGGACTCGCTCCATCGCTCGCTCGAACCTCGCACGTGTTCATGCGACTCGAGAGATAGGGATACGTGACTTGGACCGTAAGCGTGCACGTGTGCGCGCGCACCCATACACCTACGAGGTAGTACGCGGATGCGCCCGAGTTCGTTAATCGATTTGTTTGGTAGAGCGAGCGTTCGCCAATACGCGGGGACACGCGTCGCCGCTCTCAAACCTTTTTGCCGGCTTAATTCGCCGGGCTCGTGGTCTTTTACAAACCAAATCGACACGGCAGAAAATGTGCGTGACCGAGGTTAGGACTTAGAAGGGCGGAAGGTTCGACTATATTATTTATCCTTCATTTTTCTTTAAGAAATCGCTCGCACCAACGATTCCAATCGAGCCCTCCTCTACCCCTCAAATCCCTACCGCTGCACGCTGCCCGCTGCCCGCTGCCCGCTGCCCGCTGACCGCTACGAGGATCCTTATTGTACTCGGTTGCCCAAAACACATTTGCAATGTGTTCTTCATTAGCGCTTCCTTCCACAATTATTGAGCGACAGTGGCCTGGCAACGGACGACGACATCGAGGTGTCGAGGGAACAATGCCGTGGACGAACGAACGCAGCAATCTTCCAACGAGACTCACGAAAAAATGTCCAGATACATTTTTATTATTGTATATGGTGATTTTTTGTGCAATAGTGCGCGAACGAGATGCTGTCGATCAATGCGTATAATAGACGATGCAAGAAATGAAATAACACCATGAAAGTCGTATAATAAATTATTCTTAATGGCAGGGTTAGGGCAATAAAATCAAGGTCTTGACAGCTTGACTGTTTTTTTCTCTCTCCCTTTCTAATCGTCGATTTAAGAAAAAGAAAAACGATCTATTCGCTCGACTGCCAAAGGCAAAATAATAAACGAAAATGATATAAGTAAGCATGTTCGCAAATTAATCGAAGCAATCGGCATTCGTCACTAGGCCGGCCAACCACCTGGAAAATCTCGATCCCAGTGACCTACGTAACCAGTTGGGGTAGACAAGCGCCCGTCCAGATCAGCCTCTCCGAAGGTCAGCAACCGAGTTTATTCTGAGACCATCCTCCTCGTAGATGCGTCGACACTCGAAAGAACAAAAGAAAAACAAAAACGAGAAAGAAAAAAACGAGAAAAAAGTCGCCACTAGTAAATGTAAATAGGCCGAGGCATTCGTGAGCGATGCTAAACGAAGCATAAACGCACCGAGGGGGCGCGCCCTTAAAATATCCGTCGATTAATCTCGCGGCTCTTGGTATGCGGTCAGTCGGGGCCGGTGACACTTTCACACGGCGTCGCTGACCTCCTCCGACGCCTCCGATCTCCTAATGCCGCGCCATTCAGCGACTAACGCGAAACTTCCACGAAAGCTCTTGACGTCGCAAAAGTCACGCGGCCTCCGTTCAGCCATCCTCAGCCCCCGAAATCGTGTACGCTAGAAGGAACTTGGTTGCTCTTGTCTTACGAGAATTTTCTTGTAGCTATAGCCGTACGCGTGTGCTCGCTCGCGCGCTCTTATATAATGTCCGTGGACATTGGTTTTAATCCCTCGGAATCCCCATCGGAATCATTTTATGAAGATAAAATGAATGGGGCTCGTTACCGCAAAATATAAAAAATATATTTGGAGCTCTCCCCTCCATTTGGATAATTGCACGAACGAGGGCCCGTAATTACGGCTACTCTCGATGCTTTGAACAAAACGAGCGTTTGAAATTTCATTGGGAAATTACGATCGACGCCGATGTTTCAAACGGAAATTTTTTAATTAAAGGCTGAGGTAGCACAGCTGTAGTTACCCGAGCTACCAACGAACGTGAATAAAGTGCGCTTCCTTGTATTACGCTAAAACTTGTTTTATGATATAGTCGTAATGATGACGGTGACGGAGAAGACGACGACGAAGACGACGACGAAGACGACGACGAAGACGACGACGACGACGACGATAATGATAAAGATAATAATGTTGGCTTGAAGCTATTAGAGGGAAATTCATTTTAATATCGCATCGGTTTCTCATTGTTTGACAGCACATCTACAAGAGAGCCTGGAAGGCAGAATAATGATGGCTAATGTAAGGATGGAGCAGCATTTGCTAAATTAAGAATTTTCTTGATATCCTACCTAGCACTCGCTATAATTTAAACTCACAATAGACCTTTCCTTCGTCGACCCTCTCATGTATCTCGTATCTTACTCTTATCTATCTAGTGGTCGCACAAAGCATTGCGTAAAAAATTGTCGGCCACGTTTTCGATTTCATGAACTTTTGTGTAAAATACGAGAACGTCGCGACTTGAGAGTTGACTATATTTATTGCCGTAGGGCATAAGAGAACAGTAATGGATTGGTCGTCGGTTGGTCGTTGGTTGGTCGTCGGTTGGTCGTCGGTTGGTCGTCGTTCGCTCGTCATCCGTCATACCATAACGTCAATTCTCAGTTGCACGTAAAGTTCCGCTATTATTCGTGATTCTCACACATAACCATCTCACAATTCAAACTCATTGCTCGACTTGGTCTTGCGGTAAGAGGGTGGGGCGCCGTGCGGCTGCCAGTGTTGATTGATTCAGTAAAATACCAACTGACGGGGGAGGCGAGACGAGAAAAACACGTTGCGCCAATGAAGCCAATGTAAATTGTTTTAAATGTAACGCGCAAAAAGTCGGCAACGTAGCGTAGAAATATTGCGAATGGAGGACCTACGAGGTTAAAGCCAAAGAACGAAAAGTGGTTGTTGCGTGACTCGTCTGTATATCGTTGTGGTTACGTAGATTTTTGCATATTTTAATGCCTATGCTATGCTCTACGATGCTGAGATATTTTTTTGTTTCTTTAATAATACGGAATTGTTGATTTTTGGCATAATGTGTACCTGGCTTGTAACAATTCGTATGTAAGTATTATTAATATTAACGATGTCATATTTGGCGGCTACAGCGTCGACTCGCTAATTAACATAGTTTTTGTTGTTGTTGTTCTTGTTGTTGTTATTATTATTATTATTATTATTATTAATAGTAGTAACGTACACGTTCATTCGTATATCGTGAAGGTCGTATCAAACAGTACCCTAACAATAATTTTATCACGACTGAAAAATCCATTTAATTAAAAAATAAAGCATTTGTTTATAAGGTATTCTTATAAATTTCATACTTTTTTTTTGTTTTTGTTTTAGACTCGTTTCTATTAGGCTCCCGTGTGGTCGTAACAAAATTACTCTAAATTCATTCTATGCTTGAAAATAATTTTACTTTTCATTTATTTTGCCCAAGTATTCGAATGTTTTACCGGCAAGCGACTAATTCACAATTGT